CCAGATGGCCTTGAACTCAATGATCCGCCTGCCTCCACCTCTGGAGTGCTGGGATTACAGGCATGTGCCACCATGCCCGACATTTTAGGACTTTTTCAAACCCTAAACTTTTATTGCTGGGCCAGGGAAGTAGCTCAGTAGAATAAGTGCTTACCTGGCAAGTACAGGGTCCTGAGTTCAATCACTGGTACTACAAAAACAAACAAAATAAACTTTTACTGTCTTTGCCATAGACAAAGGAGAAAGACAGACTGAAAAAAATGTGACAGCAATTTCTCTCTCTCTCTTTTTTTTTTTTTTCCTGTCTTTTTGAGACAAAGTCTCACTATGCAGTTCAGGCTGGCCTTGAACTCACTTTATAGTTCAGGCTAGGCTCAAATTCTCAAAGATCCCCCTGCCTCTGCCTCCCAAATGCTGGGATTACAGGTGTACACCATCACACCTGGCCAATTTCACATTTTGAAAATACTTAGCTATTGGGAAATTCCTTCTGTGCAGCCACTAATTTTCACCCCAGTAATAAAGACTGAAGCTATAGGAAATCAAAGCTTGAGACCATGGTACTCAGGAATTCACTCATTCAATACATTCTGGACACTTTTTTTTTTTTTTTTTTTTTTTTTGAGACAGGGTCTCATTATGTGGTTCAGGCTGGCCTTGAGCTCACTTTGTAGCCCAGGCTGGTCTCAAACTCGAAATGGGCCCCTGCCTCAGCCTCCCAAGTGCTGGGATTACAGACATGCACTGCCACACCTGGCCTGCACACACTTTTCTAAGTACAAGAAAGTATGGGACAAAGGTCCTTGCTTTCATAGGTTTCTACCCTGGTGGGAAGAGACAGTTAACAAGATGAATAAGTCAGTCACATGGTGCACAGAGGGCAGCAGGCACTAAGGGGAGAAAGAAAGCCCAAAGAGGGAGAGAGAGGTGTCAGGGAACAAGGACTCTAAATAGCATTGCTTGGCTGGTCTTGCTGAGGAGTAGATATTTACACAAAGACTTGTGGGATGGAAAGAGGTATGCCATGCAGACATCTGATGAAGAATGGTGTGGGTAGAGGGGATGTCCAATGCCAAAGCTCTGAGGGGGAGTGTGCCTGAGCAGTGCAGAGTCAAGTTTCCTGAGCTGAAAGACAGTTGCAGTCTACAGAGAGGAACTGTCATTTATCAAAGAATCACTCTATTAGCTTTCCTCAGAGACACAATACTTAATGTTTGCAATTTAGAGGAAAAGATGCAGGGCTGAGGAGATAGCTCAGTAGAATAAGCGCTTCCCTGGCAAGCACAAGGGCCTGAGTTCAATCCCCAGTTCCACACACACACACACACACACACAC